CACAGGAATAGAAAGAAGAGCCGATAGCTGAATCTCTACAGGAAGACAGATTCAAGTCCCATAACAGAAAATTCTTTTCAGTGTCTTCCAGAGAAGAATTTGAATGAAACGAAAACATTCAAGTTGAACTTTTCAGTAAAGGACTACATAAAGTCTTCGTTACAACAACCTGTTGAAACAAAAAAATACCTATGTTCTGAGACATTCCTATTTAGTTGTAGAATTTAGGTGGGTGTGCTTTTGTATTTTCTACCTTGTGTAATTTTTGCTTCCTTAATTTTTAAAAGGTGTAATCTTTTCTACTGTATACTGGAAGTGTTATCCTGTCTTCATTATTTATAAGGGTTACTAAAGAAAATTTTTGTGCCAGAGCCTTATTTGTAAATTTTTTGTATTTTTTCCTTTTTCTGTATACTGTAATAAATGTTTGTCCTTTAAAATTTTATGCAACAGTTTGAGTCTTGATTGCACCTTATACAACTTTCTATTCCTACTAACTAGGTTTTTGTGTTTGGCACAAGAATTTAGATTTGGTATGGAGTTAAATTTTTTTTATAATTTCTTGTTATTTTAAATATTATAGTGGACATGCCTGTTTGAGAAGACATCTTTTTTAAACAGTGTCAGTCTATTTCTTTCTTTATTTGAGAGTCTTAAAGAAAATATGCCTTCTGGCAGAGTTTTAATGCACAAGGCCACTAGATATAGATATACACTCAAGTTTGAAGGTGTTTAGGTTCAAAATTATAAGCATTGGAATTTCATTCCAGTGATCAGTGAAAGCCTTATAAAATTTATAATTTACTGAAGCTCTATAAATTGTATATGGTCAACATGCATGACACTAAATTATTGTGCCATCAAATAATTTGTGTCAAAAGGAAATTATACTGAACAATTTATCTATATTATGACATGTTATACAGTGCAGTAGTTTTAGTGTGATTTTCAATAAACAATGCAAATTTAAAACATTTTATCTCATAATTTATGCCCAGCAATATCATGGTGTTATATATACTTTTATCTATTTTTGGTTTTTATTATGATCTAACAAATGCTTTAACAAATCTTATTCATTGAGTAGCCATTTTTGTAATCATTTACAATGTTTTTACACAGATTTTACTTATCAAATACAGTAAAAGAAATAGCATATTTTGCTTGTGGTAATTCATAATTACCATTCTGACTTGAAAATATTTTCCATTCAGTGTATTTAATATAAAAGATATTAACTTTATTTGGATTTATTCTTGAAATAGTAAAATATTCAAGTCACTTTGCAAGCAAGAACCTGTGGAAATTAGGTATTTCAGATGATATTTAAAACTAAATCCTCAAAAAATGGTAAAAGCTATGAATCTAATTTTTGGTGACAATACTTATCACATCAAACACTAAATGCTCTGTCGATTTTATAAAAAGTGAAAAATCAACCTGCCTTAACCAGTCAATAGCTATAGATTTACAGTTTAAAAAATAATGAGGTCTACTTAAATGCAAGTATTCACTAAAATATGTTTAACGTAATAAGAAATAATGTTAGATTATAAATACAATCCATTATTTCCTTAAAAATTACAATATATTAAGTCATCATTAAGTCTGCTTTTAAATTTCATTTTTTTAGTATAAAATTAAAGACATCAGTTTGTTTGCCTTAAAATTAAAAAGGAGATGCATGTAGTGCAGTGATTAACACCACAGAGAGTGAAACTGGCATCTCAAGTTCAAATTCTGACTGAAATCATTGCATTCACTTTTGCAAAAATATCAACTTCTTCCCTCAGCTATGGGTTAAGTAGCAGGGTAGATTGGGCTCTCTATCCTTGATTGGTAATCAGTGTTAGAGAAGGAAAACTGAATTCAAACCTGACCAGGGCTGTTTGGAGGCACCCTGTGCACCATTGCTCTGATATAAGTTCTTTAAAAAAAAGTGTGGCTGGTTCAACACAAGCTTACACTCCTGACATCAAATCATATGTAACCTCTGGCAGTTCAGTTTAGAACTGAACTGTTATGCCCTCATATACTGAAATCAATAGTATAGTCCACTATATAAGTAAAAGATTTGTTGCTTAGCTGATTGATGTTACTTTCAGCATCACGACTCCAGAGTTTCATAAACAGATGCTCCAGGAATTACATTGTCAACTCATCAGTGGGTATCAAGAACAATTTTAGAGTCAAGAAGTATGACAAAATGTAAAACGTTTTTGTGTGAGGCATTTAATCCTTTAGGACTTCAATGAACTAAATATATGTTTACATTGATGCAACTACACATGCACTTGAAGGAAAGCAGAACACTGAGAATTCAAAATTAATTTTTTTTTTTTATTTACTTAATATATGCTTTGGGTATATAATCTAGCTGATCCAATTTAGATTTTCTTTTTGTTTGTTTCCATCACTTTTGTTATGAAATATCCCACATCATGATAATAGTTCTTCCAAGAATGGTGAAACGTAAGATCTTTGACAATAATTCACTGTGGATTATCTAACAATTAAAGCACTTTCTAAATATTTTCATTTATATTGCAATATATTCAACTATTTATTTTGGTGAAGATTTGTGAAGGTGTTCAAAGAACATTTCAATAACATTCAGATTCAGAAGGTAAAGAACAAACCTAGTCATGTTACTTAAGTACAAATCAGAATTACATAGCTTTGACAATGTAATATTAGGTAACTAGTAAATGTCCAAATATCATAATTTATACTCAGGTATTTTTTTGTCTTTTCAAGCAATTGGAAGTTAATCTGATATAAAAAAAAATGCTTGTTCCTTATTCAATCTCTTTCTCTATTCTTTACACAAATAAAATGAAGACACTTAACTACAACTACAGAAGTTGTGTTATGTTTTTTTATACTGTTAATCTTCAGACTGAAGTTTGCTGGCCATTTTAAATTTATATTATTATATTAAATTTGGCTCCATGAGTGACCATTTCATTACAGTGAGGATGTGTGGCTGGTTTAATGAATAGCAGCTTGGAATGAGAAATTGGAGAGTCAAGTTCGAATTCCAGTTGGGTTCATTATATTCACTTATGCACAAATATTATTAGGAAAGGTATGAATCATTCTTCTCTCCTAGCTATGGGTTAAATAGTATGTCTCGTATCCGGAAAAATCATTTTTATTCTCAAAAATTGTTCACTCCCAAAAAAAATATTTTTATAATCCAAAATATATTTTGGCTTTAAATAACACACAAAGGGTTGATAATCCATAAAATCAAACAGTCAATATACAGTTTATATACAGACATGCATATATATAATAAATTCATGTAACTACTACGACTACAGCAGTGTTACTAACAAAACCTTTATTAGTTGACTTTTATGTGGGACATGGTTTTGGAGCTGAAACATCATTATCACTTGCCCAGAGCACCTAATAATACCACATGGTTTTGTTGCTTTTCAGTTAATGTAGAAGTGTCAGATCTGCACAGATGCAGCTTCTGCTTGATCTTGAGGCCTCTTAAAATATTTCCCCTTTACTGTTGATCTGAGTTTAGTTAGATATACTGAGATTGAGTTGAAAAAAATCAACATCTGACGAAGATAGGAAATATATTGGTCATCCAAATCAAGTTTTATAAACTTCTCTCACAGGTCTTTATACATTTCTTGCTGATGTGGATGCACACCAGTTAATATTCTCAATAGAAAACATTAATTCAACAATATAAACTTTGCATTACTTGACAAGTACACAGGATTAAGATTCTGGGCAGTTAACATGATCTCAGTTAGATAGGTAAGATCATGTTCTAAATGTATTGTGTGTGTATGATAATGTTAGCTGTTTCCTTATAAGGAAACATTTGTCATTCATTGACTGAGCAGCTTGTGCTACTGTCAGTGGAAATATATAAAATCTTTCTCTTAAAACAATTTTTAAGGAAAACAAGTTTCTCCAGTCCACTGTTATCACTCTTTCCAGTATTGATGATAGTTTCCTTCCTAACCTTTTATTTGAAGTAGTGTGGAAGGTCAACATCTTGATTATGCTATTATTTTCTTTTCAAGTTACATTTTAGCTGTTGTTGCTGTTGAAAGTCCTCAAATGGACTTCTGTTATCAGGTACAGTTCTTTGTTTGTGAATTCTGCAGTGCCAGTCCATGATGTCTGAAGAAAGATCGTCTTCATCAAGATCCACAGGCTTCACTTGCTCAAAACCATTTTTAACAATTGATCTTAGAAGGTGAATGTATACAGCTGATAGTTTAGATTTTTGGAATAGGTTTGGGCTCTTCACACACATCCATATGAAAGACTCGATCTGACAATCCTATTGAAGTTTACAGGTTTTTTTGGTTTTGTAGCATTTTACGATGTTGTGTGAAACTATGTCCAATTTTGTATTTAGTAGATTGACACTAACCTATTTCTACTACTAGCAAGGTCTGAGTTCAAAACTACCCACTACCAAGCCAAAATGGATATTTCTTCAGACTGCTACCAATATCCGCCTTATAAATGAACATTTTGCAACACTGAATATCACAGGACTTACTCAAAATCAAATAAATAAAAATATATTATGTATTTTATATGCTTGAATCAGTTTGTTTTATTTCTGAAATTCCAATAAAAAAATCCCAACAAGAACCATCCTGGCAAATCTATCACACTCTCACTGCTTTCATTTCAATTCCAGATTTAGTTTCTATTCTTACAAAGTTTTATTTTTTGAGTCCTATTCCTTTGTTAGAGGATGTTGTTTTTCCATTCAAGATCATTCTTATCCCAACTATGAATACCTATATCATTGTCATAGCCTCCCTTATCATCAGTACATTGGCCTCGAAAGGGAAAACATGACCGTTGTCTTCTATTGGTATATATGCAAATACACATAAAAATAAATGTGCACCAATGATGCATATGAAAATATAACAAAATATACTAATAGATGAAATATTTATTTATAGAAAAATATTCTCTTTGCTAATATGAAAAATGTACAAACTTCATGACAAGAATATCTTGTAAGGATTTAAAATGGCTCGAGAGTCAAGTGTTTGTTTCATGAGCTTCATTAGGTTGATTGCAGATGAAGATTTGCTGTGATGTAAATACATCGGTTTGTGAATTCCAATACCATGTTCAGCACTGACACTGCCTGAAACAGTTGCCACATAATCAAAGATAAATGGCTCAAGAAGACTCAGAAGATAAGGATCATATTTGGGCGATGCGACATTCACATGAATATTGCCTGTAAATAAAGAAAAAGAACATTTAAAAAAATGACAAAGTGTGAGAGTTCTTTTCAGACTAATCATTGAATAAAATTCCTTGGTATATATTCACCTATATTCCTTGACTGACAGTAGTAAGTATACAAGACTTATTTAAAATACTTATTTTAAAAATAATTAAAATTAATTCTAAAATGATTTAACATTTTAAATTCCACCTAAATTCTTTGAGTGACAGTAGTAAGTATACAAGGTACATTCAAAATGTATTTCTCCTTTGGGCATAAAAAATAAATTTTGTGCATTTCACAAATTTTATTTAATCACCTTCAAATCACCTTGGCAATTCACACTTCTCTCAGTGGTTCTACCACTGCTTGTAACCTCTTAGGAATACCTTCTCTGAAATGCTATGGTCATTTTTCTCATAATTTCCTCTCATGACTCAAATCACTTCCCTTTCAATGTGGTTTTCAGATTAGGGAACAGCCAGAAGTCACACAGTGCCAAGAGAGAGTAGGGAGCCTGTCGAACAAGTAGTGTATTGTTCTTGACCTTTTGGAAAAACTTTATGTAATATCTCTGCTTAATGCATTCAGTTATCTTGCATGAAAATGAAAATCTGACAAGCATGCACTACACATTTGTAATCTAGGCCTAACAACCAAAGAATTGATCATATTAATAGCACAAAAATTTTCACATATGCAAGAAGAGTGGTGTTGTGTCACACCCAAATCCTTTCGATTGACACAACACCACTACAGACTAATAAAAAAACAAGAAATTGAGAATAAAAATGTCCTAAAGAATTGGTATATGAAAAGGTTGATAGCAGACATGAAACGAAATGGAAGATAATAAAAAAAATGTGAGAAGAAAAGACTAAGCATCAAGTATAAGATGACAGAATGTATGGTTGTTGTGGTGTGAGTAGCCATGGTCAAATGCAAAATAAAGAACTGAACTGTTCGACAAACAAAATTGACAAAGTTTGCAATAAGAAATAACAAGAAAAAGAAAAGAACAGAGCAAAAAATAATATAAAGCAAGCAAACAATATATTTGAAGGCAGATTAACAGTAATAAGGCAAAGCAAAAGTAATATGGCAAAAAGTTAACAAACTAAGACTTGGGGTTGATACACAAAAGCAAGTTCAAATGAGTGAATGTAGCATTCTGACTTCAAGACAAGATAGACTGGGACTGAGTCAGATGAAACTGAGAACCAGCCTATTTTATTGGCTAGAAAAAAATCCCATCATGCATTTTGTGCTTTTTGCCTATAAAATGAGGAGGGGCAAGTATTTTGCACCCATTCCCAGATAGATTGGAATCAACAGTTGTTACAAGAACAGTCATGAAAACTACAAATTGTAGATGTCAAAATCAAGTAAGTATGAAAATTCAAATATCTGGGAAGTGTTTTAACAAAAAATGTAACACCGAATTCTGAAGGCGCATTGGAATAGCAAAAGATGCATTCCAAAAGCTAAGCAAAGTATTAAGAAACAGGTAAATTTCATTAGAAACAGAGTGCTGAACTGTTATATGATATCAATCCTCCTCTATGGAATATGAGGTAATCTCCACACAGATGAAGAAGATCCTTGAGGCAACAAAAATGTGGTCCTACAGAAGAAAAAGGAGATTACCATAGATTGAATACGTGGTTAATGAGGAAGTTTTAAGGAAAATGTAAATGAAATAGACAGTTATACTTTAAATCAGAAAGAAACAATCAAAATTTCTTGGGCACGGAAAGAGGAATTGGCAAATCTAACATTCACAGGACATACTGAAGACAAGAGGGACAGAGGAAAGTAATCTGCCTAATGATCTTGTGTAAATGGAGGCAGATCAAGGGTTGGGAGAGATAACAAAAAGACATGAGGCTCCATAAAATATATGCCAACAGGTTTATCATCATCAAGTGGATGATGATGTATGTGTTAACACAACAGGATTTGATATAAAATAAACATTATAATCTCTAAATAAGATATACATTGACTTATAAGATACTTACTGTCACCAACATGGCCATAGCCCATCACCACAGTGTTTGGAATGTGGGAAACACGTTTTCTTACTTCCAATACTAAATCATAAAAACCTGACAGTTTGAGAGACAAGTCATATTTGTAACAATAGCTTCCATTCTTTGTAACACTTTCAGCAACTCGTTCACGAAGGCTCCACAGATGCTGGAAAAAGAAAAAGAAAAAATTGAGTGACATAGAAAAAACAAAATATAAATAATTGGTTGTCAGGTCCTAAAAGAAATAGAAAAAAAAAACAATAAATATACTAACAATTTTCATTATACATTGATGGAAAATACAATTGCTAGTGTTGTGATGTAGGTGTAAGTCTGGCTAAAAGCACATATGCTTAGAGACCTGCTCTAAGTAAACATACCAACAGTTTGTGTCAGCATATTTGCTCAGGTTTCTGTATAATGCATTGATAATGGCAAGTGTCTATATTAAGTGGCCATCCAGAACCTGGTCTATGATACTAGGACTGTTCATTTGATGACTGTTGCCAACATCAAAGCACCACTGAGATGTCACATACAGCATGTGCAGCCATTCTTTGAAATTATCAACCAGACTCTTGAAAACTCACAGTCTAATCTAAATGATTAAAAGAATACTGTGGGCATCCTCATATCATGATATCTGCTTGTACTGACTCCTTCAACACACTGAACTTTACCAAAGCTCAGACACAAATCTTGTAATGATCTTAGATGCATTCCAAAAGCTAAGCAAAGTATTAAGAAACAGGTAAATTTCATTAGAAACAGAGTGCTGAACTGTTATATGATATCAATCCTCCTATATCACAAGATGGTTGAAGACATTGAAAATTTTATCAGAATATCTATTATTATTGTACATAAGAAAATGGTGATGAACTAACACCTTTGTGTGGCAAACAGTTTTTGTGAATAAAGAAAAATATGCCTCTCCACCGGACTAGGTTAGTGAACATGCAAATCTATTTCACTACAAGCCAATCAACAGGAGGCCTTCTGAGTTCAATAGACTGCTTTAAAGAACATGCAATTCAATTTCACTCCTGTTCAATTGTAAAGCATAGTAAGTCATACAGATTGCTTTAAAAACTGTTATTTTTTTTGCCATGTGCTACAAGTAAATTTCCCTTGAGTGGATGTGAGTGAGGGAAGTTCATGATGTTTTGACAAATTCTATTCTCGTTTTTACAATTAACAAACATGTTTTGGATTGTATCCAGATTAAAATAAGCATCCTCCTGAAGAGTGTTCCAATTTTATTTTTTGTCATTAGTGGATGGAGTGATTGCTGGAGGGTCTGTCTATGAAACTAGAGTCAGGATGCTGAAAGTAACACCAATCAGTGAAGTGACAAATTTTATATTTGAATTAATTATATATATATATATATATATATATATATATATATATATATATATATATTCAGATGACCTGTATCTGTAGAAGAGACAAAATGAATTAAAAAGGCAAGAGGAAAAACTATACTTAGCCAATGCATTTTGACCAATGAGGGATTTTATCAAGGCCTTGATAAAGTCCCTGAGAGGATGAAATGTCTTAGTTACATATAGTTTTTCCTCTTGTCATTTTTATATATATATATATATATATATATATATATATATATATATATATATACACACACACACACACATAGGGTGTCTCAAAAAATGCATGCACATAAATAATTCAAACAAACAGAACCAACTATATCTAATTTAAAAGATGCACATGAAGACAGTATTTATTATAAATGCATGCACTTATGATTTTGTTAACACACATTTTCAAACTGATGTCCGTTTTGCTCCAGACATTGCTGAAAAAGCAATGCAATGGAATTACAAGTAGCAAACATTTCAATAGGTATTTGGTTGCATTCTTGCTCTATGGAAAGTTTAATTTTAGCAATTGTTGCTGGCTTTGTAGCATAAACTTTGTCTTTTAAGTATCCCAACAAGAAAAGGCCTAATGCAGTGAAGTCCAGTGAATGAGGAGAATATTCTTCAGAACCTCTTCTTTCAAACCATCTGTTTGGCAAGATTTCATTCAGGTATAATCATATTTCATGATGGTAGCATGGTGGTACTCCATCTTGCTAAAAATAAAACTCCTTATTTTCCAAATTCTTGGCATGATAGACTGTTGCACGGTTAAGCCACATACATTTTTGAGAGTGAGACACTCTATGTGTGTGTGTGTGTATATATATATATATATATATATACATACATACATACATACATACACCTCATATATATATATATATATATATATATATATATATGTGTGTGTGTGGTCCTCCTGTAAGTAATTTTTTTTTAATCATTTCACCACATGCAAGGAAGTAAAGCCACTAAGACATCATGGGAGATGCAATAATTTGCATAAGCTTGTTAATACTTCAGGTTCAGCGACTACTGAACACTTGATAAATAATGTGCTATGTCATTTACCATGGATTTCTTTACAATAATCAGCAGAGTATACTTCAATTACCATTTGAAAATATTAGAGACATTTTCATTAGGTTTAGGCAGCCTTTCCCTCTGTAAGCAGAAGGGATGGCCTTAATATAATCAAAGTATGATTTTTTTTTTATTTTACATCTGCTTATTCTCCTGCAATCCTAATTTACTTAATAGCTTTTTAAATGTTGTGCATACATTTGACCTCAGCTGGCTCTGAAGAGTGAAGATCAAAAACTGGTAAGCCGTTATTTTCTTACGGATTATTCTTATTGTTTCAATTTGTGAGTCACCTCTTCACGGTAATCTATTTTATTATCTTTGCTTTTCTTCCCACAATTTGTTGTTTGTTTTTTTATGTATACAATTTTAACATGTCTATTTTTATAACATTAATAAAGTTTTGTACTCTCCATTGATTGTCTAAAAAGTTTTATCAAAACTTTCCTTGTATGGAGATTAATTTTGTTTATTCTTTAGCCCTTTTGCTTCCACAAAGACAATGTCTGCATAACTTTATAATTTTAAAAGTATCTATTTTTTATCACAAGTTGTAATCTGTCTGGCAATGGTAATATACATGAACAAAAATTCATTCAAACTTTTATTTAAATTCTTAAATGTTTCACATGTATTTTGGGGGACAGTTTTTGCAGTATATTTTGTAAATTCCTGCCTCAGGTTTAATGCCTTTATTATTTTGTTTTGTGATAATTAAATCTCTTAGTCCTAGGCATGGTGATAAACTACATCTGCCAACAAGGCCTCTGATCAGAAGATTGGAAATTTTGAGGAGGGTGGAATCACCTCTTAATTGCTATTGTTCCCAGGTCCACTCTGACCTGCGGTGGTAGCACCTGTTAGGGTCCCAGCTATGGATAAATAGTGACCCCCCCAAACAAAAACAAAATACTATGAAAGTATAGAAATACATTTTTATATTAAAAAATTACATATTTATATAAGAAAATTACCAATAATACATTTTATCTGTAGTAGAAGTCATACAATTGCATTCAAAATATTTAGATTTCAGAATTAAATAACCCAGAGAGGTTGATGTGCCACTAAACAAAATCAACCATCCAATTTAATTTTATTTTTTTAAAGTACTTGTAAAAAATGTTATATTAAATTTAGATAAATTCTGTTCAATTGAAGTCATTTGATTTGGTAGGTATTATTATATATTTAGTATTATCAAGATTATTTGAATCTTTTTTTTTTTTTAGATTTTGTAACTTTAAAAACAAAGTAGATTAAGTCCTACTGGTCTGGGAATTGTGAGTTCAAACCTTGATCCAGGTAGTACAGATTCCTATTCAGTAAAAACAGGGCAAGCAATTACTGAGCAGCATTAAAATGGATATGGGCAGTAGAATGAGAACACTCTACCCACATAGATTAAATAAAGGGTCCAGTTCAAAATTCCCTGATAGTTACTCAGATCAACAAACACCTGAAGAAGGCTGGAAAATACAATGGCCAAAACATGACAATAGCAACAAAAGATAAGAATATTAATCCAAATGTAAATAATATACATAATGTCAAATTTTATTATGCAGATGAATGTGTTCACAATAAAATTTTCATTAATCAATTGGGGATGAAGTAAAATTGTTTAGCTATGAACTGTGGTTGCTGCTGTGAGTAGTCAAGAGACTGTAGGCACTACTATTGCTCACCTGAATACCTTCATAGAGTTCTCTAATAGTGATTCTTATGTTAGTTGTAATGAGTGCTTCAGCCTGCTTGGCCTTACCCTCATTCTCAGCATTCTGGATCATGTCACTAAAGTCAGTTTCACCTTTTCTCTAAGATTACCATTAACTTAAAAGCCCATCTTTTTACTGTGTTTACATCAAGTGAAAGCCTTTCCAAAAACATTCACTAACCTCTTATGAATATTTGCAGTATTTTCTCCTTCCAAAAGCAGAAATTTTACTTCACTAGTTCTCTTTTCAGACCATGTAAATCTAAATTAATTTTATGATTTGCATGAATGAGCAGTATCAACCACTTGTTAACCAATTGGTCAATGGTTTAAACTGAAGTCATAAAACAGTTTTTATTATTTTGAGAATAGAACATTGTTACTCATCTTTCCAATGCAAATAAATAACAGCTATTTGTTTTTTTGTTTTTTTTTATGTATATCCAAAGAGGCAGCCACTTTGAAAGAAGATTATATCTATAAAAAAAGAAAACAACTCTTAAAATCTTTCCTTGGATGGTTTATAGCTAAAAAACAAAAACAAAAAAAAAATCCAAAAAAACTTAGGAATTCTAATACATTTAAAATTAGAACTGACATTACTTTTTGACTTGCTTGTACAAAAATGTGTTTTGTCTGATTTTCTTTCAACTCAAAATCAAATATTACATCAGCATTCGCCAAGTTTAACAGAGACTACATTTTTACAGACTGTAAAAACAACTATAAGTTGGATCACTTATAAAATATATGTTTCAACTTACCTTAATTTGTGTTATATCAGCTGCTATTGTACCATCTTGTACTAATCCTTTTGTTGTCAGTTCCTCAATCAAATTATTCAGTTTCTCTTCATCATGTGTTTCATTTGATCCAAATGTTTCCATCAACACATAGAAAGGACATTTACTGATTGGGCGAGTTAATTTAAGATTGTCAGTGACAGAGTTCATAGATTCTGTATCCAGGAATTCAAAGGCAGAAAGAATTTCTGCAAGCTTTCTTTTTGTTGTCTTAAAAATGTCTAAAACATCCATAAAACTTTGGCATCCTAAGAATTAACAACATAACAGTGATCTTTAGTGAATTCAAGGTAAGCAAAATGGAAATAGTACTTAAATTTTTGTAACAGATCCATTTATCATTATTGCAATTCCTAGAACAAAAGAAGAAGTAAAAAAACTAAAAAATATATATATATATATATATATATATATATATATATATATATATATATATATATATGTATATAGCTATATTATTTTTCAGAAAATATAAATTATTTTTTAAATTTTGAAAGTTTGACAAATGTTTTATGCTCACTAAAAAATAAAGATAACATATCAATAAAAATTTCAAATCAAGAGGAAAAAGATTTTCATTTTTCTAAGCAATTCATTACAAGAAAGGCAATAAAGACACTAAGACAGAAGGGGTTACTGAGTTAGAGAATATGAGAATGATATACTATTAAGGGAAAAGGACAACAAAAGAACAAGAATTAGAAGGCAGAAGATTGATGCTGCATTTAAATTTTTGAAGATCAAAGTTGATTGGGAAGCTAGAAGGAGAGTTTCACAAGTGAGAAGTGTGAGAAAAGAAATTGTTAACATAGAACTTATGGTTACATCAATCATTTCAACTGTAAAAGGACAACCAAGTACTGCACTTAAATTCATACAGTTTCAGTATCAGAGGAAAAGTCATCAGAACAATTATCATGAAAGCATTCATAGAACAGGCACAGGGAAGCTATGTTACAATAGTGGGAAAGTAACTGAAGCCAAGATGCCAAGTTAGGATCAATAACATCACAGATTCTTTATATTTTATCAAGAATTTCTAAATATAAGGCAGGAGTGCCAGACCAGATGTGGTAGCAATATTTAAAGCAAGGGTAAATGGTTGACTTATAAATATGTAAGATAAATCCTGGAAAATGCTAATCTTCATGACAATTTCATGACTAAAATTTTATATTAAGATGGTAAATTATTTTGAAAGCACAAATTAATGAATAAACATACACTGTGTCTAAGATGATGCTATTTACAAATATATTCATGTCTCTTATTGTTATAGTGGAACATCCCTATTCTATTGTTAATAGACTCTCCCACCTATAATAAGTAGGAGTAGTAGGAGTCACTGAAGGAGTTGGTCAGTCAGTCGATGTCGGACAACTGTTAGTCGGATATTAAAGTATCAGCCACCACAACTAGATTACAGCGTCATTGCCTATTATATCAAGTTCCTAACGTTTTTGTACGTTGAACATATTTTAAGACCAACTTAGTACAAATACAAGCCTCAACTGTGGAAACCACTCTACAACACTTGGCGACTAGGATTCAAACTCATACGGAGGAAGAAAAACTTTCGTTCGCCATACAACACTTATTATATAATTGATGTCACCTTTTCCTTGGATTGTTAAATTTTATATTAGAAAGAGACGAAGTGGGTACAGTGAACATACTGACACAAAATGAGCTCTACTGTATTTGGGTGTAAAGACAATATTACCGGTAATATAATTACTGTGGACGCTGCTACAGCTGTCTCAAGTTTGTTACATTAATGTCTTTAAATTAATAAAATTCAGAAAATATGAAGTGTTGTACAAAATCGTTAAAAAGTTGATTCGATAATATATGCAGTTTTCGTTACAAACACACACACACATATATATATATATATATATATATGAAACTTAAGTTGCAGCTTGAGCTATACTTCATTGAGGGTTGAATTTGTGAAGTGTTTTTTGCTCTGACTCGATAGCCTAGACATTGAGTACTTAAATTTACTTCTTATGTAGATGTATGCTTTTTGGTCTTTTTTTTTCTTAGTTTGGGATTTTTTCTTGTCTAATTTTTTTTGTCAAAGGTTTTAGGTCTTTGGATGGTAATCTGCACCAACATTTTTGTAAGAAGACCGAAGAATATGACTGACATTGCATTTAAACTTTTGAAGTTCAAAGTTGACTGGGAAGTTATAAGAAATTTTCACAAGTGAAAAGTGAGAAGGGTGATAGAAGAAACTGTTAGCAAAGAACTTAGTTATATATATATATATATATATATATATATATATATATATATATATATATTGTTACGTAGTACAGAGAAGAAAGCTAGGATAGAATAACCTTTTCTTAAGGCTTTACTGAACTTAATTCACAGCAGTCAGTAATCAACAAAGGAAAGAATTTAGAATAAAAAGGAAGAAGAACGCAGCTTTTAAAGAGGAATGGGAACGTGTGAAAAGTCACGTGGACAAGAAAGCTAGTTTCCTTTTTTATTCTTTCTTTTTTTTTTTTTTACGAAAATATAACATATATATACACACACACACACACACTAATAATAAATATACATTTTGTTCTTCACCACTTGGCACAACTGCTCATATGATAATTGTCTGATTGAAAACTGACTGTTGTAAAATTTAGATATTTATATTTATAACCTACTGTTAAGATAGTGGAGCAGTCATTTATTAATGAAAAAGAAATTGCACTGTACACTATTATGTGTGTGTATATATATAAAGAAGTGATGATGATAATCTACTTAAATTTATGAGCCTCTCTTGATACTGCTGAAGTATGAATGTCCAAAAATGACAAATCTTATACTTGAATAGGCCATTTCTATAGATTTTTTTCAAGTTAGGGATAACTTTCTGTATTTGCCAAACAAATAATTTGAAAGTAGAAATAAATTTTGCTATTATATTAGTATTACTCTAGCAATAAGTTAACATCTCACTTTTATATTCATTTTTCTATGGAAAGAAAAAGAATTTTGTCAATTATGGAGAATTAAAAGTTTAAATAATTTACTTACCAACTAAGGCAACATTAACAGAACTTGGCTTTTGTGGACATGCAATGGCTGCTTTTGTAATGAAGCCAAGAGTACCTTCAGATCCAATAAATAATTGCTTCAAGTCATAACCAGTGTTGTCTTTTCTTAATCTGGTCAAGCAGTCTAAAATCTCTCCATTAGCAAGAACCTAATAAAAACACAAAGGCAAATATTTTATTGAAAATCAGCATATATCAAAAATAAATTGCAACAAAATAAAATGATCAAAATGAAAGTGTGTAATACAAATACAAAGAAATATGGAGAAGAAAATCAGATAAGGAAAGTAAGGAGATAAAAAAGAGCAAATATTTTAAAATAATTATGAAGCTATAAAAAAAGTTAAATAAAAATTAAGAAAAGATTAAAATAAATATAACTATTTAGTTTATATTATTTACAAGCTTAAAAGCTGCCAATAGAGCAGTATTTAAGTTAGCTCCTCTTGATTGGAGCTTTCATCACAATAGATAGGGAGGAGTAGATGCAATAGACAATAATAAACTGCAGAAGAACTCAAAACTGATTGCTGCTTTTAAGTATTGCAATAATATTTAAGCTTACCTTTTAAAACTTCAATGATAATTTTTCTGCTGCCACTTAATTTTTAATTTAAAGACAATGTGATGTACATAGGTCCTTACTTTCTGTACAAACAATTATTTTTATTTCATGGGTGACTTTCACTGGATTTCACAATTAATTTTGATTATTCCCAAATTTATTTCCAAGTTATAAAAATTGTTATTGTACAAAAAAATTTGTTGCAAAAATTCCCGTAAAAATAAAATTGCCAAAAACAATCACAGTAATGAAAACTTGGGAATCCAAAATTACAGGATTGTGGGTCTGGATTTGGCCTGATTCCAAAATGGTTATATGATATGTTGTGCTACAGCCTAAAGATGAAATTTTGTCTTGAAATACTGTAATTTGAAAACAGTAATTTTTTCATTTGAAAATGAACTATTGAAAGTTAGAGAGTTGTGTCCCTTTAATTGTTTTTTATCAGTAGAAGCCAATATAGCAGAATCTGAAAACAATTGCAGTAATGAAAACTTGGGAATTCAAAATTTCAGGATTGCAGGTCTTGATCTGGCCCAGAATATTTTTAATTTGCTCACAGAGTTGGCTTGATTCCAAATGACACACTGACATTCACATTATTATATAGATAGTTGAACTAATATCATCATCTTTTTGTTGTTATTTCAGCTATTTTTATACACTGGCATTATTCAGCTGGACAACCTTTAGGGAATTTCAAATCCAATACTACTTTACATGAATGATCTGACTCCAATCATTTATGGATATCTATGCTGATGATACAAAAGTATATGGGTGCACATTCCAAAATTCTTGATGATCAGATCTTGGCAACTGATATCTCCTCTGTTCTAGATCTAACAGCTCAGTGTGGGAAAAATTGGCTGGTCACATTCATTGCCTCGAAAACCAAACTAGTCCATTTTCCTTATCACAAAGTGGACTGTGGAATTTCATCTGTTGCAATGAATGAGTATTTTCTCAGGGAGGCCCCATGCCATGTGTGCCTATTGGGACTTAAGCCCACTTCACACCTCAAGTGGAATTCATACATACAATCCATCACTAAACATGTTGGTTCCCTGTACTGCTTCAGTAAATAGCTGACTCCTCTTGCTTTCCTCTACCTTTACAAGAGCCCAATCAGGGGTTGAAAATGGAGTACTGCTGCCCACTTTTCACTTTCCAATCTCAAAAGAGTACAAAAGCATCTACACAGCCTTGTTGTGGTTGATGAATTGTTTGCTACCTTACAACTCCTTTTCCACAGACAGAATATCTCAAGCCTCTCGCTACTCTATTGTTATTTCCATGGAAAGTGTTCAGACAAAATACATTCCTTAGTTCCACCAGTTCCGTAGCTAAAACAGCTTAGAAAAAACATTTTACTACTTTTAACATGATAGCTAAATAATTATAATAAATTTAAAAAATATTTTTTTTTTTTTACAATGAGGTTCACCCTGTACAAGCCACAAGAACCACTCGAGGTAGAGGGTTACAGAGTAAAAGGTACAGTTTATGGGAATATCTAGGAAAGATAACAGTTGAATCTAGACTTGAACAGGCTAAGAGTGTAATGATTGAGGATGCATCCTCTTGAGATTCAGGTCCACAAAGTAGTGGTTTGTGGGAAGACTCTTCTTGAATGGAACTTACATCTTACAAATGGAATATCAAGGGAATGAGGGTGATTGGCTACAATGTACATGGTATGGCAGGTTTTAACTGTGAAGGATAGAACTGGGGAAACAAAGGAATATAGTTTATCTGGACACTTTCCATAGAAATAGTGATAGAGCAACAAGAGGCTTGTGACATTTCCTCTATGGGAAAGAAATGAAAAAAATCCACAAAATTCTTATATTATGTCATAAGTGATTCACAAGATTTCTCAGCAAATATGACTAATACATATGACTGACATAGATTTAATGAAAGGAGGCTGAAAATTTAATCTTTATAACTTTGTATACAAAATTAACTAAAATTGTTCTTCATTATGAACTTTGTTATCTGACTACCAAATATGCTTCATCACACAGCCAATATCTATATTATTAAATTCTTTAAGTGACATACGAAGCAAAACATGGGCTTACAATAAGTGGAACAATAATTTTTGTCTTTATTTTATAATGTATATGATCTACTATGAAACTAATGAAACTTAAACTTCAGGGTCCCTAATCACAAAGGGGTTTTAATGAGTGAATTTTCCCACTGTGACGTCGTCCCCCGGTCGCAGCGTTGACTATGTCGTTCGATCCCGGTCGCGGCGCCAATTGTGACGTCACGTGCTCCCCAGGCTCTGATATCCTGGTCACGGGCAGCACCAGTTGTGACGTCTTTGCCGCGGCGTCAGCTGTTCGCTCCTCGCTGCTCCAAATGTGACGTTCTAACCCTTTGGTTAGATTGATACCAGCCTCATCGTTCCCAACCCGCTTCCAACGCCTGGTTACCAGGGTAACTGCACTGATCTCCAGTCTGCCTACCCATGTTGTGAATTGATCTTAGACAGACGAGATCAAACAGGGGTTGGGGCCGTAATGCAAGTTGAGTCTAACGGGGGTGATAACACACAATTATGTATAAAAAAAAAAATAAAATAAAAACTCACAAGGTCCAACGTATCAAAGAAAAAGGTAACAAACTTTTTATGTCTATTTGCTCGGTACATAGGACTATGTCTACTTCCCAACCCGTTTTGTGGATTGTGGCTGCAACGCTTTTACTAGGCAACTTTAAGGCTTCAAGTTGTCTGCTCTCTAAGAAATTTGTGTTTGGTGTGTCTTTGGACGAAAGTCGAAAAAAAACTTATTTCTGTGGTCTGATTTTAAGTCGCTCTTCAAACTACTTGTTCTTGGTTGAAGAAGAGTCCAGAAGTGTGCGTGAATCTTGGTCAGCTATCTTGACGCGGTTTCAACACTGGGCGCTCATCTCTGCTTGTCGTCCACGGCTCAAAACTCTTTCACTGTCCGCTGCTCAAACTCTCTCTTCGTCCGCGGCTGAAACTCTGATTTCTGTCGGTTGGGGTCCCGCTTTTATTGACGCAGTCAAAACTGGGGTGGGTCTGTCGGCGCCAGGGGTTTTTCGATAATTCTAAATACATATCCACCCTTCTTATTTCTGGTTAGGGATTTTCCATTTTTGGTAATTCACTCTCACTCCCACTTCCTTACTGTGCCTCTGTGGGGCGTATACCCGCTTCTTTCGCTTCTTCGTATCGGCTCCTTACACTTCTGACAAGGGCGTCGACCGATTCTCCTCGTGCGTCATGTGACCGCTCTCGGCCAATGAGTTCCTGGTCGGGTATCTTTCCTCCTCCTTCGTGTGTCATGTGACCGCTTTGGCCAATGAGGTCCTGGTGGGTATCTTTCCTCCTCCTTCGTGTGTCATGTGATCTTATTTAGCCAATGACGTCTTTAGTTGGCGTGGACAATCCGTGGCTTTGTTTTAGGAAAGAACACCTTGTTTAAAAAACAAAAATATTAATTTAAATCGCCCTTATCATGAGCGACTGAGATGACACCTTCGGCTTTTTAACACGTGGTATTTGTCAAGCAGTTTATCGCTAATTGGATATGATCTAAGAAAGGAATTTCTCAGACCTTTTGGCGTTTTGGAACGAAATAAAATATTTCATTTTCCCCGCTGGAAGGGCTGATAATAAAAATCTTTATTATCTCAAAAAATTTTTTAGCGACATCGTCTTGTGTGGCTTTTTTCTAATTCTGGAGACTGTGTTTTTTCGTATTAATGGTTTGCCTTCATATCCTTAGATACACTTCCCACCTGTTACCTATCATCCCAATGACACACTTTCCACTTGTTACTTATCAATATTTTTCATTGTCCCTAAACTTCGTTTCTTCAACCAATTGATAACAACTTCCTTTTCCCCCTGATCTCGGTTAGATGCTTGACCTGGATATTTTTCGACACCTGTTATCTGTCAGCCGAGCGTGTGTGTGCTCGCCTATGACCTGTTTTCGTATTATTTTTTCTTTCTTTCTTCTTCGTTTTCTCTTTCCTTCTTCCAGATTGCTTGAACGTAAAGAAAGAATTATTCTTAAAACCCAAAATATTTTTCGGCACTAAATAATTATTAAATGGTTGATAAACAGTAAAAAACAAATCATATATCTATGAATATTTCTTTTCAGCTCGTCAGGTATGCATGGTGCCACACCACAAAAATAAAGTTTTTTTTTTTTAAATTTTGTTATTAAAATAATACCATTTTAGCGATAGAATCATAAGCCAATGAGTTGAAATAGCTAATGTTGTTCTTAGAATATGCTTCAATACCCACTTCATATAGCCTCAAAATCCCCCTGTAATTGACCAAATTTCAAAATTTTCTTGGGAGCTTGCAGTGTCCAAACCCCAGCTGTATAGACTTGTTGAGCTTGTCAGAATCTATTTATAGCCTATATTTTGGCAGTTGGATCTATTGTTGTTGGTTGTGAAGGGACCCTCCATATCTGTTCAAGCTTCAGGGCCCCAAAAATGGAAGATCTCCACTGAGTGCCCAAATGTCCTGGTATTAATGCAAATGAATAAAAAACTGTCCCAGCTGGAGTTTGAACACAGTACACAGATTCCGGTCTTCAAGACATTAACCCTATAGCCATTTGAACATCTCCAATTTATATGCCATACAGTGTTTCAATTTTAAAAAAAATAAACAAAAAAAGAAAGATCTTACCACTTCAAGCCCAAGAACACTGCCATGTAAAGATCCATATCGTAAGAAACGTATACCTCCAGCATTAGTTGCAATGTTTCCACCAATGTGACAACTCCCTTTTGCTCCAAGGTCCAATGGCATAGTCAATTGATGTTCTTCCAAATATTTGTCCAGCTGTTCCAGAATACACCCAGCCTCACATACCAGTATACCTTTAATAGATATAAGTAGCAATAAGTAAAAGTTATTCAACAGATACATACATAATTAAAAGACTGAACTAATCTATCATATAATTCTGATGTTCCATTTTTCCTTAGTTATTTAGCACATCCATTGTCCTGCCAATGGCAGTAGGTTAGAGAGTTGAAGGACTAAATTATGAAAGACCAAAAATGTGTCTACACTAGAATACCTTTTACTTAGCATGCAAGTATCCTGCTGGTAAATAATTATTTATAATTTTAAACTAATATAAGAATGTCCAATGAAAAAAAATTTTCTACATAATTGCTAATTTTTTTTTTAACAAAGATCTGCATTCAAACTACAGTAAAGAGTTAAAATTTTTATTTATGAGAAATTACAATTGTGGTAAAAATAAAAATAAAATTTAGTCAGTTTGACTGTTTTTCCATTCAGCACTTTATGCTGAATAGAAAAAGAATCCATTCGATACATTGTTCATTCGGCACTTTGTCCATTCAACATTTTGTTCTTCAACACTGTCTACACATGCCTGCCAATACCTCATAAATGAACTCTTCCATTTTGATCATGAGGAAAGATGGAAAAGACATATCACAGATGCTGTTTGATTTTAGTGAGAAAATAACAAAGAAAGAAAAGATAAAGGAAATGATAGTGCTTTCATGTGTATAATGTCTAATTCAGTGAAATAAAAATCCTTTCATTTGTACCCTCTTACTGCTTAAAATAATGACCTGCATTAATAATGATGATTGTTATTGCAATATGTTGTTAAAGTTTTTAATCTCAAATATATAACACTGCAATAAGGAAATTTACACAGGTATTTTATAGTTGTAGAACTTGCAAGGAGCTTATGCAATCATTAACTTAAGAATTATGTTTTATCAGAAGATTCAAATAACAAAACCATGACATTTTCATTGATACTGCTAGTGTATATAAATTTGGAAATTTCCTTAATATACAACTTGATTTATTTTTTAGTTAAATCCTAATGTCATGTAGACTTTTAATGTAAAAATCTTGAAATGTCTTAACTTACCTGATACATCATCTACACTGATTATTTCATTCATAAGTCGAGTAGATATAATAATTTCATCAAAAACTGGCACACTTCCACCTACTAAACCCGTGTTGCCACCTTGGGGAACAACTGCTAAATGCCTTTCATTACAGTAACTCAAAAGCTGAGATACTTCCTTTGTTGTCTTAGGAAGCAGAACTAGTCGACTCATTCCTGAAATAAATAAATTTGAAAAGAAATAATACAAAATAAAAGACAAAGATTTTGCAATACACGCACTAGATTTTTTACAACTTATCTACCTTTTGCAGGATGTTTAAAGCCAGAAAATATTTTTACATTGTAAGAAGTATTTTGAAGATAATAATGATTTTGCTGAGATAATAATGATTTTTTCCCTACTAATTAACCTGTAGATTGGAGAGAGAAGAGGTGGATTCATACCTTTCCCAAGGGTATTTGCATGCAAGTGAATATAACAAACTTGACTGGAACTGGAACTTGGCTTTCCAATTTCCAATTCTGAGCTGTTATCCATTACACCACGTGGTATTCCCAAGTGGTCACAAATCTAGGTATTGATGAGGTTTGATGTTAGTTAACTTTGATGATTGTATGAGTACCAGTGTTTCAGTGTGATATGGTCGTAAAGCCTGCATTACCCTGAACCAAGTGATAAAGTGATGATTTACCTCTTGAATTGGGAATACATTAAAAATCATTATAGTACCAATACACTGAGGTGTTTCATTTTGTTACTTTTCCTAATTTTCAAAAAAGGCTACCATCAAATCTGAAGTCACATTGGAATAGTGAAAGATGCTAAACAAAATAATAAGAAATAGAAAAATTTCATAAGCAGCAATGAAAAGATTGAAGTATGTAATAACAATCGTCCATGTGGAAGTGAATACTGGACAATTTCCTCACAGATGGAGAGGAGACCTGAGGCAATAGTGATTTGATTCTAGAGATGGATGTTGAGAATACCATGGATGGAGTATGTATGCAATGAAGAAGTTTAAAAAAAAATGCAAGCAAGAAGGACAATTGTATATAAAATGAGAGAGTTGAGATTTCTGGGATGCATAATGAAGAATGAGGGCTTGAAGAATTTAACACTCACAGGACATACAGAAGACAAGAGAGACAGTGAGAAACATTGAGTAATCTACCTAATGACTTTATACACATGGATGGCAGAACAGGGAGTGGAATGGTACAAACATTGCTTAGATCTACAAAGGTTTGGAAGTTGTGGATAGTGATATTTACCCATGTCCTGAATGGACACAGTAAAAAAAAAAATAAAATAAAATAAACAATATCACGTCAATATAACTATATATACTATGACATTTAAATATCTTTCTAATCTTGTGTAATAAGGCACTAAATTAATTATACAAAAAACTAAATTTTCTGATTGGTTAGTTTCAGATACTTACAAGATAACTATGTATGTCCCAAATAATTTATACAAGAACTTTTGACATAATTTATGCCTGAATTTCTGGGAAGGGTGTTATAATTATTTACATTATTTACACACATTTTTGCTATTATCATGTTTTGGCTGCTTTACCTCCATCAGGTGATTACTTTTCAGGTAGCCTTGAGAGAATTTTGAACTAAACCCTTTACATAATCTATGGGGGTAAACTGTTTCAATTCTAATATCCATATCCAAGGTTATCTAATCTAGTTCTTATCAGTTGCTGTTCACCTTATTTCCACTGAGTCCAATTACACACTTGCTCGGCCCAGAGATTGAACTTGAAATTACTATATTACTAAATTCACAGACCTATGATTTAATCCACGAAACTATAGTATCACTTGAGGGCTAGGAATAGCTAAAATGGATATCACACATAAAGTCTTGAAGGAAAAATAATGATAATCAAGATGAGGACGTTTCCTACTACTTCAAATAAAAAGTTAGCAAGGAAACTCTCATCAAGACTAGAAAGAGTGATAACAGATATTGAACTTGAGAAACCTATTTTCCTAAAAAATTGTTTTAAGAAAAAGATTTTATAAATTTCAACTGAAAGCAGCACTGGTTGCTCGGTCAATGAATGCCAAATGTTTCCTTATAAGGAAACAGCTAATATTACCATTGTCTCATATAAATAATGTATATAACCATTCATATGTTTAGTGGATTTTGACACTATCTGCTCATATTGGTCTATCAGAGATATATTTAGATAAATCAATAAGCCAGCTGTAAACTTTTTCAAGGCCAAAGAACCACTCGAGGTAGAGGGTTACAGATTAAGAGGCACAATTTATGGGAATATAGGGAAAATATAACAGTTAACCCTAGACTTGAACAAGTTAAGCTTGTAGTGATTGGGGGAAGCATCATTTTGCAACTTGTGAATGTAAGGGAGGTAATTCAGTATTTGCTATGGAGACATCATTTGGAGCGGTAAATTTAATAAAAAATAATATCTCAAAAAAGAGAAATTAATTTGTTTCGAACATAGAAAATTCTTACGGAACAATCACACAAAGCAGCGTACAACAGTAGGCACACAAAAATGTGTTATCTTAAGTAAATTAAACGGTAAGCACCCACATTCTCTCCGTATTTTATAAGTGAGAAATTCCACTCGATCAGCTTCTTCTCGCGAACCACTGCTCTGTTGAACGGACTCCCAAGAAGAGAATATTTCTTCGTTCACAACAATCTTAACTTGTTCCAAGTCTAGGTTTAACTGTTGACGTTATCTTCCTATCTGCATAAATTTATTTTTATCTAATTATTTAACTATTTAAGTAAAAAAAAACTTTTTTTTGAACTGCTGAGTTTTGAAAATGTGATTCGAATGACTTTTTTTTTTTTAATTGACTTTGTCCTTTAGGGTTTAAAAACAAATCAGACAGACGTAAAAAAAATTGTATTTTATAATTTTCATGATTTGCAGCTAAAAAAATGCATAAGCATTTAGTTTTATGGAATACAGAAATGTCCTTTTGTAAAACTTTTTTAATTAAATAAAATAATTTAAAAACTAATGCAAGGTAATAACTTTCTCCTTGACTTTACTTGGTGTTGTTGTATGTTTCTTTTTTTTTTTTCTTCACTCTCTTTTTAGTCTATAAAATATAAATCTAGGCTTTTTATATGATTTGCAGAAATAAGCAGCATCAACAACTCTTTAGTAATTGTTTGATGCTTTAAACTGAAGATACAAAAAAAAAAACAACAGTTTTCTCTGCTTTGTAGTTTAGAAGAATGTCATTTTTACTCGTTCTTCTAGATATGTTTTTTAATGTTTACGTTTTATTTTTTAAAAGCAAGTACTGTGTAAAACTTACCTCCCTTGGATTATGACCCGAACCTTGACGAATTTGTTCGTACTCAGTATTTGTTATTGAAATTTATTAGATAATTATTTTATGGGGTTACTTTTAAAATAAATAAATAATTATATATAGAAAATTAAAAAAATAATACAACTAAAAAACAACGTAATTTACCTCTGTAACTTTTCATCCAGTCTACATTGTAAGGTTCCACATCAGCTGGGTCGGATACGCACCTATTTGTGGTTAAAATATTTCTGAATACAGACAAATCATCTTCAGTGAGCCTAGAATAATTTCCTCGGATTATTTCTGGATGTCTGACCGATGTCAGTTCTACAGATGACGAACGAGCGCGACACAGCACTTTGTGGAGTTCATGTTTATTATTATGACTTCTTACTATGCAGTTTTGAATTAGCTTAAATCTACTTGTAAAACTTAGTCCCTTTGTTAATAATGCCGATATTTGTAGAGCCTTCATTTTGTTTGTGCTGGCCGAAGAATTGTGTTTCCTTTGCTCTCTACCCTCACTGTATGTGTGTGTGTTTAAGTACAAGGGAGGTAATGCTGATTACTTGTCAGCTCTCTAAATTTTTCTTTTTTTTTTTTAACTAAATTTAACCCAAAACCTGGCTCGAGAACCACTCATCCTAAAGGTTACAGACAAAATGGTAATCATGAATATGATGAAAGAGAAGTGAAGTTTATGAGGATAAGGAAGATAGGTAAAAACTGATTAAAGTGTTCAAGAAAGCATCCTCCTAGGACTCTGTTCCCAAAGTGGTAATTCACATTTGGAACCTGGAGGAAATGAATGCGATTTGAATTATTGGAAGTAGCATGGTATATTGTAGTTGTAAAGGTCTGAACTGGTGAAACTAAAGAATGGAGCTCATCTGAACATTTGCTATGAAAATAGTGATAGACTTGCAAGATTGCATCTGTGAGAGAGTGATTGCAGAGTGTAAAATAAGTCTTCTACCAAAAAACTATATAATCAATTTTAAACTCTGTCAGGGCTCGAAAGTGAAGATTGAGCAGCTCCAATTCAAATATGACAGTGTGGGAAAATGAAATAAATAAAAGAATAATAATGAAAAAAACACATTTTCTCATGACGCTGATAATAAAGGAACTGGAAATTTTATTACTCCATTTGGATTTGTCAAATTCTGCTAGGTGGTGTTGCTAAAATCTATAAAAAATAAACATTTTTTTCCTATAAATAATTCTAAGCTGAATAAAGCTTCCTAAGCTACACCGTTCTCCTGTGTCTTATTACACATAGCATGGTATCTTTTATGCATTGCAAAAAAATAGATATTGTTTTAAAAAGTCTATTAACTTTAGAAACTGGTGTGCAGAAGTCTATTAACTTCGGTGACTAATTTGAAAAAGTGTCTGTAAACACTTTTGGTCACAAGCAGACTAATTATAAAAAAATTATTTTTACTACTTTAAAATGTTAACCTTGAATAAATGTTCAATTGTCTAGATTGTTTCTTTAGCACACATTCTTTTGAGAAAAGTGTATTTTTATGAAGGCCAGGCAGTTTGTGTAAAAATTGTTATACTTGTATATCTTTTTTAGCCCAGTAGTTAAAACCTGCCAAAATTTGTGAATGATCCATTTCTAGTTTATGGAAAATTATTTTTTTCATATATATTGACCAATGAGAGATGTGGTTTAACTACTGAAACTTGATTTTTTTTTATCTTCAATCTTTAAAGATCAGAAGTCAAATAAGAAAAGTTGTTTTTACAAACACAAGAGACTCAAACAGAAGGTTCCAGTAGCTAATAAAAATTGACAGATTACCTAAAATATTTTCCATCCAATCAGAACACAGCAGAAGACCATCTATGCAGAAGCATGGTTCAAGCCTGTCAGTAATGATCATAAAACCTTCTTTCTGCCATTGACCTCACCACCTATGATTCACATCTATTTCTCAACCCAATAGTAACAATGACCTTTCAGGTCAACAGACTTCATTCCTTATGCAATATATACATTCTCACAACTCAAGTGGACTTCTCAACACTATTCAAACAAAGCAATGATGCACATATTCATTATTTCACATAGTAAAACTAACTACAAGCCAACTTTAGTGATAACTCATCCATTCATGAGTGAATTTCTTCACTCTTGTACATTTCAGCATACCATACAATTAATACCAAAGCTTTCATTATTATTATTATTATTGTTGCTCCTTGGTTTGTATTTTCTTCATGTTGAAACACTGGTTACAGTATGATCAAAGATAAGCAATGTCAAGCCTGGTCAGTACCTAGATGGGTGACTGTTTGGGAATACCAGGTGCTGTAAGCTTGGATGTGTGGGTGATGTAATGGATCATGAATATCTATGAATTCACCTCTTCTCCTCCCATCTATGGGTTAATTAGTAAGACTTGTATCACTAAACCATTACTAACTTAAAAAATTCTTACAATCTAAAAAATATTTTCTGGTTTTAAATAACCTGCAATGTGTTGATAAGCCGTAGAAAAAAATAAATCAATGTATTTTCTTTTACTTTATCTCTTTATAATTACATGGATGTATGGGTGGTGTAATGGATAGAAGCTTGAAATGAGAAATCTGAGAGATGGGTTCGAATACGAGTTGGGTTTATTGTATTCATTTATGCCCAATTACTCTTGGGAAATATATGAAATTATCTCCTTCTACAACTATGGTTTGAATATTAAGACTTGTATCTGGAATAACCCAAAACATTGTTAATGTGTTATTCATTCACAAAAAAAAAAACAAGAATCATTCTTTCAATCCAAAATATGTTTTGGCTTTAAATAACCCACACAAAGTTGATAAGTTGTAAAAAATAAAATCTTCATAAGTACATTCAACTATTTCCTCTTAACCTATAACTAATTCCACTATTTAGCCTGATATGATATCTTAATGTATTGCCAAATAGCTTGCAATGTCAGCATCTTAGCATCCAACTAGTTAATAATCTGATGATGTTTTACAAATTGAGAAGCTGCTGATGACCTTTTGTCACTTCTTTTGGGAATGTGCTGGCATACTGCATCACTATTTGGTATACCAGCTGCTTGGCAGCAGACAAGAGACCCTCGCCTCAAAGGATTATAGATATTGCTCAGAAAATAATCAGCGGCTTCTCATTGCAGAAATAATGAAATGCATCCTGGGTACAACTTCTTTGAACAGTTTTTACAACAGTTCTATTAGTTAGTTCTAGGACAAAGCGCTTAAGAGACAGCTTTTATCATTGGGTTGTGCCGCATACTGACAATTTTCAATATATTTTAAACATATTACAATAAGAATTTGAAAGTGGTAGTAAATGGAGCTAACCCGTTACCATTCAAAGATGAAAACTTGAACTTTATTATCAACCTGGGACTCTGATTGGTTAACTACTTTCCAGTCAGGACCCCTTCTTGGGGCCACATGGTAAATTCGGTTCTAAAATCTTCCTCTTTTGCAAAGTAACAGCTGTAGTGACCACATGTTTATTGGAGCTGTCCTTTTTTACCTTTATGGTGTCCAGAAGCCACAAGGCTGCAAATCTTTGTTCTTTGGACACTCTTCTAGCAGTTAATCTGCAAATATAAATTATATTTGCAAGCTTTAATACTGTCATTAAGTTGCTTCTCTTCTTCAAGTGAGTGCATCTTTGTTGTTGCAGGTATAAACACTTTTGATGAGATTTTATAAGTTCCTGGTACATTTGAGCTGCTAACAATTTTGGTGGACTCGTATAAGTCTTTGGGTGAATAGGTTGTTTTTCTTATACACATCAGTGTTCACTAAAATGTTGTGGGTGGTTATTTATTTACATCATAGCAGCAGAAATTAGCTTTGTGTTCACGGAGATAAAAGCATACGTGACAGAAGATAAAACATGCAAAAATAACAGGAAAAGGTTGGTAAATTAGATGTTAATTTCATACAATTTATTTATATTTTTGTGTGTATATTTTTAGGTTACAATTGTTTTTATGGTACATGTGATAAAAGGGAGAATTTACTGTGTAGTATTACAAGCCATATCACAGAGAGAAGTTGTACATGTGTTGTCTGTACCAAGGTTCATAGTGAAGAGATTAATTTTAATGTCTTTTGGCGGAAAGTCTGTATTTTCTGCAGGAAGAGTTTTTGTTGCAGGCTGGGAGTATTTTTATTATTTTTAATTTTTATTTAATTTATTTTATACAATGTTTTTTATGTTATTGTTTTATTTTATTTACAATTTTAAATTTTTATTTTATTTTTATATATTTTTAATAATAACATTCCGACAAGTTCAAAGGAAAAATAAGACAGAATTTGAACAAAGAAATATTAACAAATATATTGACTGGACATTTTACAAAAGAAAAGATGAGAAATGTTATGAAATATGAAAAGTTCAAAGCAAACTTACATGTCTATAGTTGATTACTTGCATTTTGCAGGAGCGAAAAGAATACATCTTTTTGCTATGAAAAGTCCCCGAGAAAGAGAGTGAGTATTTCAAATCTTGCTGCCTGTGATTATCATCAGGGAGTGGTAATTCAACATTGACTTTGTGGGATTTAACTGCATCCTATGAAAATCTTTATATTACTTTTCTTCATTTGATGCGTGTAATTTTGTGTGTGTGTGTGTGTGTGTGTGTGTGTGTGTGAACTGCTGTCCAATTTCACAGTGACAAGAAGAATAAGTAAATAAATAATGGTATTCTGACCAAGGTGTAATTAAACAAATAAACTGAAAGCACTTAGGAACATACAGGCTCGACTTAGCCGGTTTAAGAGATTAAACAGGTATCTACTCTTTGAAGACATAACAGTATTGCTTGGCAACAAAGAAATAAACAAAAATTAACAGTAAAACATTCAATTAACAGCTTTTTTATTGACTGTATTCTTGTTGAGCAAGTTTGTTGTGGAGGTGAAGGTTGAATAAATTTGAAAATTGATCAGGAAGCTGTTTAGTTATATGAAGTTGGCTGAATGTATAAAATTTCACTCCTCCGCAAACATTTAACTTTAGATGTATGGCACAAGGCTAACAAGACAATACAAAAGATGACAACAATGATGTAAAACAACAATAAAATATTTATATAGAAATAATACAATTATCAAGAATGAACTGCTCAGAATATTTGGCTGAGCTATGCTGAATTTCAAAGTTCAGGAATGTTAATTGATCAAATTAAAATGCTTTATAATGTTCCTTCAAAACAGTGTTTTTGGTACAAGATTCACAATGCAAAAATAAGAGTTGTTTACTCTTAATTATGAATTTAATTATTTGAAAACTTTTCTTTGAAAGAGAGAAATTTTTTATCTGGTCTCACAATGAAAAGAGTTTGTTTTTAGAAGTGTTCTTTAGGAATTAGTTGAATGTTTTTGTGTAATATGAATATTGTGAGAATGTGTTTGGTAAAAGGAACTTTATATCATTACTTGATGTTTCAAGAAGTTTCTGCTTTGTACTAAATGAAATTTAGTTTTTCTACTTCTGAAAATAAATACAATGACTCTTGCTGCTAAAAGAAAATGTTCACCAAAGAGTAAATTTTCTTGAATAGAACTGAGTGAGAAAGTTTCTTGAATTGTGTCCTGAAAAGCTGAAATTATGTTTAGTAAACTTGTAGCTTCAGAAGACATTTTTTAAGTAATTTCTTGCTGGTGAAGAATTGGAAAAAACTGGAGTATCCAAGTTAAATTTTTTTAGGGTGGCAGCAATGTGTCTTGTTGACTTTTAAAAGGTCTCACTGATGAAGAATTGAAGGAGTGAATGTTCCATAATATTTAATTAATTTCCACTTTTGCTTGTAGTTGAATATACATAATATGTTGATGAGTGTAATGTTCTGTAATTTTCATAATGTTTGTAATTAAGTTTCCGTACGTACGTGTATGTGTATGTGCAAAGGGTGGAAACGCGATTTCTTAAACAGTTACATTTTAGAGAGAAATCAAAAAGAGAAAAGAAAGAGAGAACAAACTTGTGTCTGGTATTTATAACCAACATAATCACATGACAAGCTCTGGAGCATATTTCTGATTTTTGGCAGAAAAATGGCTTTGAATAACATGTAGGTGTTGTATGGATGTAGGCAAGAATATGATTTTAATATTAATTGACCAATGAGAAGTGAAAAAAATATCAAGGCTCTGTGATCTACTTTTTGCACAGATTTGCACAAAAATTGACATTGACAAAAAAGTGGCAGTTCATACTCAAAGTGAACAAATAAAACTAAAAGATCTTAGTTTGTAATAACTGGAAATGCTCATATTAAAATTGAATTACATGATAATCACCATATATATACTTATATATAATTCTACTTCATGTATATTGTGATCCTTAATATTTTTTTTTGTGAAAAACCTGATTTCTTCATATAGCTTATGTATAATATGCCCTGTGGAGAAGCGCCAGAGGATCTTAGTCATATCTTTCAGAAACTTCAGAATAAACAAACAGAATCAAAGATATAAGCAAATAATATATGTTTATTGAATTAACTTCGATTGGGGCGAGTCCTTTCTAAATCTGGTCGGTGTAAGTTCATTCAGCTAGGTAGTTGTTAGTTTATGGATCAGATTTTGATAGCAGTCGTCATCTTGTTGGCAGCTATCAGGAGTGTTGTCACTTTGGAAAAATGTTACAGACACAAATCTGTTGTTTATTCACAAACTTCTAAAAGGATAGACAATGTCTTAAACAGATTACCAGTTAATTCTTCACATGACATGCTTGGGCCAGTTTCTAGCTGTCTCCTCTACTGCTATCTGTTGGCTGCCTATTTATATATAATTTTGAAAGGCTCCTGACTACTTGGTGTGAAGTATGGCTATATATATATATATATGTAGTCAGAATCAAATCTGTCCTTTTCTACCACCTGATGATTGTATGATTATCTTGCAAGTTGTGGAAACAGCAAAAAAACAAGTATCTCCTTTTATATTGTATGTTACTCTGTATATTTTATATTTTAAATTGAGCACTGTGTTGTTGTAGAATTTATATTATTTATTGTTATATAAAGCAATATATATGCTTCTTAATGGTCAAGCATTATTTTACCCCCACTTAATACTTAAGTAGCTTACAGCCATATCATGTTGAAACAAAGGTTCTCATCTGATCACTGAAGTTAAGCAATGTTGATCCTGGCCAGTACCTAGATATGTGATTGTTTGTGAATACCGGATGCTGTAAGCTTGGATGTGCAAGCAGGGTGATAGATATGATATATATCAACCGTACAGTAAAAATGTGAAAAAAATTATGCGCATACACAAAAAATCCAATCACTCCCACCATGTGGAGTGACTATATTGAATCAATAGCTGCATCTACTGCAAGGAAAGTTGGGTCACACTGTCATTCCAGAAAATCTTTCAGAATCAGTCATGCACATTTACAAATATTCCATTTGTCCAAACATTGAATATTGTTGCCATATCTGGTATGGTGCTCCTGCTATGCATCTAGAGATTCTTGACAAAATCCAAAGAAGGATCTGTAATATAATCAATCTTAACCAGACATCTTGATTTCAGTCACTTTCTCACTGACATGACATGGCTTCCCTTTGTCTTTTCTACAAATATTTTCATGGCAACTGCTATGACGAGCTTTGTTCCCTGGTGACCCAAATAGATGAATTTAAACATGCCACAAGATTGGCATCTAGGTCCCACCCTTCTACTGTTGAAATAGTTAAACCACCAGTTCTATTCTAACAGTTTCTTTTCTCACACTTCCCACCTGTGGAACTTCCTTCCGTTTACTTGCTTCCCTGAAAACTACATTCTTCACAAATTTAAATGCAATGTCAATCTCCATCTTCTGCCTACATGAACCCCGTTTCCTCAATCCTCCCTATTCCCAGTCTTCTCTTTCATTCCCTGACCCCCTATGTACTAGTAGCATTACTGCTTTACTTGGGGTTAAAAGATTAAAAAGAAAGAATCAATGTAAGCATAACTTGTTGTTATTAGTTTTTAGGGATGTAATTTGAAGTTGAGGTGTCATGTTTTGATGAACAAAAACTAAAAGTAGTGAATTGGTTGAGAATATAAACAAACAAATTTTTATCCTATCGGGAACTTTCTGTCTAGAGACAATTTCAAGGATAATTACTGAAAGAAAGTGAAAATTCAAGTAATGTTCTTAAGAGAGTATGTCTGTAATAAAATGAAGAAAAAATTGAACTTACTCTGTCAGTGAGTTAAAGAGTGGGTGAGGTGTATTGTTTAAGCCACATGTGTCTATTAGACAAAGTGCTAATTTTAGCATCCTATCATAACCTGTGGTATAATGGATATTGGAGTGAGAAATCAGAGAGCTGAGTTTGAATTCCAGTCAAGCTTATTCACTTAAGCCCAAATACCCTTGCATGGGTTGAATAGCAGGACAGACTGGTTTCTTTAGAATTGATTGGAAACCAGTCTACCACAGAAAGAAATGGCAACCTACTGCAGGAAAAAATCGTCAGTCATGTATCAAAAGTGTGTATCATGTACGGCACTTAACTGACTTATCATGACTTTAACATGAAGTGAAAAGGTGGTAGCTTTCATATTTTTATCCAATGTTTTTTCATATTCTGGATTTCTGTTTACATTCACAATATCAATGTTAAATATTTTATTAGTCAATCCAGTTTTCTTGCTTATTACTCTTTTAATTTTTTCTCAAATATTTTTTGTGATATTCTTAAATGTATTTTTTCTAGTTTTTAATTTGCTAGTATTTTCTGTTTTTCTTTTGGTTGTTTTGTGATCTTTATTCAGTTTTTTCACAATTTCCAATGTTGAGTTTCCTTCATTTAATAACTTTGCAATATTATGTTTTTCTTTTCAGGTTATATCTTTCTTATGAGCCACATCAATCTTTATATGTTTTAAATTAAAAAACAAAACAAATACCAATTACTATACTATTATGTATATTTACTTACAATATGATGAACAACACTTGATTTGCATAATAAAATCACACACCACCCAGTTAGATATTTTAGATATTCCTAATAAAAACATAAATCATAAGCTAATCCTTTTTTGTTTAATCATCTCATCACAAACAAAGCAACAAAGCCACTATGATATGAGAGAATATGAGAACAAGAAAATATTATTAAAGAGAGAGAACAATAAAAGAATAGGAATTAAGAAGATAGAAGATTATGATTAAACTTGCATTTAAATTTTTTTTAAATCTAAATTGACTGGAAAGCAAGAAGCTAGAAGAGAGTTCCACAACTGATAAATGTGAGAGAAGAAACTGTTAGTATCAAACTTATGGTTACATCTAGCGGCCATTTCAACTGTAAAATGATGAGACCCTACTGCCAATCTAGTATTGCGTTTAAATTAATAAAGTCTAGGTACTCTAGAAGAAAGTTTATCAGAATAATTACAATGAAAATATTTATAGCAAAGGCACAGGAAAGCTATGTTATAGCAATGAGAAAGTGACTGAAGTTGAGATGCCAGGCTAGGACCAACAATATTGCAGATTCTTCTTTGTATTTTATCAAGAATCTCTAAATATATAACAGAACACCAGACCAGATGTGGCAGCAATATTCAATGCATAGACAAATGGTAAACTTATTAATGAAAATTAGTAGGTTCAAGGATAGAGCCCAGGGGGACATATTCATTAATGCAAAAAGATGGATTAATGCATGTGACCTTAATTTTTTGATTAATTAACCTTTTGATGAAGAGGATTCCATTTATAAATTTCACACTTTTATTAAGGCCACCTGTTTATTGCAGATTGAGAAAAATCCTACACCTCCCCTATTATTAAGACACCCTTAATAATAGGGGGTGTGTGGGCTTTTTCTCAATCTGCAATAAACTGGTGTACTACTGTACTGTACTGATGCGGCATTCACCCTGGGCGGATTGAGCCGGCTTCTTCCTGTTATGAGAAGAAGATTCTTGGGATAAATTACAGAAGTAGGGTACCCAGGCCTACTCGGATAACGTTCTTGCTTGCCGCGGGGTTCCCACAGACGCAGAGACAGGAATGACCAGAAGCCGCCGGTTACTGATGCAGACGCTCCTTGGATTTTCACCAGAGCCCTTGTTAGCCGGTGTGGAGGGGGGATTAATAAATGTGTGAAAATTAGTAAATGGAGTGTTCTTAATGAACTCTGTGTATGGGAGATTTCCTAAAAAATAAACACTCTTCCCGTCTATTAGTTACCTAAGATCATTCAAATTGTGTATTTATCATATCTCGTAAACATTTTATCAATATCAGTTAATTAATACTGTTTTTATTGTGAGAATACTGACTTGCATAATATAATCTGATATAATTTATATAATATGAAGCTATAATAAAATAGCAAACCACATCAAATTTATAAAGATTTTCTTACTAGTTCCTTATTTAATCATTTTGCTGGATTTAATTCATATTCTTTCATTTCATATATAATTTCTGATGATGCTAAATAACTAGTGAAACATGTCAAATTTATAAAGGTTTTCTTACTTATATAATCATTTTATTGAGTTTATTACATATATTCATATTCATAATACAGACAAAAATATACAAATAAATAAGGCACACTATCTAGATATATAATTTTGTTGCCAGAATAAAGAAAGTATTTGAGTTCAGTAACTGTTCACCTGGATTGGGAGATGTGTATACTTCAGAACTCCCAGCTGTGCAAGTATTTTCCCACACTGTAACAGTAATTAAAGTGATTAAAAACAAAACACCATATATATCCATGTGCCTACTGCTCCAACACCCAAAACATCCCCTGCTCAAAAAAACACACACACACACACACACACACACACACACACACACACACACACACACACACACACACACACACACATTTATTCAGGCACAGTGGGGTGTAACTATCTATGAGCAATCCTGCATATATATATATATATATATATATATATAAATGAACAATGAAGTCATCAGCAAGTGGCAACAGTCTGTTTCATGCTTGACTGCAATCTTCACACTGATATTGTGTACTTTTACCCATAAATAGAGAATACTATAAAACTATATACTTACTGTACAGAAAATCTACCAACAAAGAAACCTAGTCAACTTCTACTCAAACCACACTTATAAAATTAAATCTGGTATAATTATAGGTTTTTACTTAAGGGCACTAAGAATTTGCAGCCAACCAATATCTAATCAAGGAAAAAACACACATAGAAAACATTCAAAGACCTCCAATATCCCTATCATTTCATCCACAATGCAAAGAGAAAGACACAAAAATATACAACCGCGACAAAAATAGCCACATCATTTACAATAATAAATTAAACAAAAATAGATACATAATACTATCTACCAATTCTATAACATCCACTATCCAAAATATCTTATCTTATCTAAACAACATCCAAATAGTTACAACCACTTCCAAAACCATCTTAGATATGGTCAGATCTAAAAACACCCATATAGGTAATACTTTGGGGACAGGCATATATAAAATAAATTGCCTAGACTGTTCTTCACAATACATTGGGGAAATAAAAAACAATAAAAAAATATGCGTATGAACACAAAAGAAACCTTATAAATAATAATTTAACAAATGCACTAGTCATAAACAGAAATAAATTCGACCATAATTTTGATCTAAAAAATGCCACATTCATCAAAAGATAAAGTAATTTACTCAGAAGGAAAATCCTCGAAAGTGCCGCCATTGAATATTATCTAAATATCAATCTATGCCCTGTTTTTTTTTTCCCCAATCTCATTATTCCTGAAGGAATTACTACTTCCCCAAGCCAACATACACAACAAATGTGTTGAAAAATCAAAGGAAAACTGCTGAATCTATCATTTCAACTTTTGGACATGTATAATACAAACGTCCATCTCATATTTCAATCCAAGAAACTTTTTCTTTTTTCTTTTTCGAGTATACTAAATGATGTATTCTAAGGTCTAAATGCCTAGACATTTCAGTTAACCTGTTATTGAGCATCTTTAAATTCAAAAATTTCCTTTCAAAGATGCTGTATGATTTAATCTAGGATCTAACACCTAAATCTTTTCAGTTAAGAATATTTATGGGCGTTCTCAAATTTCGAAATTTGAATAACTGTAAAATATGTTGCGGGTGTATTGTCAAGTCCAGTATTTAGGTCGGAAAACACACGTATCTCCTGGTATATTTATCACAAAAAA